GAGTATTTTCAGGCAGTCAGTTGAGGCAGTGTGAGAATATCTGCTTAGAAAATATCTAATGTGTGTAGAATAGACCAGACCTGAAAGGTGGAAATAGCTTATTGCTTTGGTACATTTTTTTGTACTATAACAAATTGATTTTGCCAATTTGTATTTCCAGTAGCACTGTAGATTCATTTTCTTCTTTACTGTAGTCTTAAGCTGTCGTTTTGCTTATTCTAAAACACTCTTTTCTATGGTTTGTAATTTTATAGTTTCTGTTTTGTATCTCATATTTCTAATTTCAAGCTCTTTTGCAGTATCTTTCTCAGCTTATGTATTTATAATGATTTGGTTCCAATTACTTTATGATTCATAGACATATAAAATATCAATTCAGAGTCAATCATCTGACATAACCTTTGTCTGTTCCTGTGATTTTTTTGGTCCATGGAAGATCACATGCCTTCTGTAGGATATTTTAGATGGTATTCATAAGAGTGTGTTCATAAGTAAGGAGGTTCAAGTTTCATAAATAAAACCTCAGGAAACATTTTCATGCTTTATTAAAAATGATTTGATATAGTATATTTGCCATTTTAGTTTTTATCCAGTTTTTTTCTGATTTTATCTGGAGGAAAAATAATCAATAAAATTATAATTCTGAAAAGAAATGTATCCTAGTTTAGGATAATTCCCCACATACTCCACTTTAAATTTTCCCCAAGATTTTGCAGTTAAATACTTCCAAAATAAGACTCTTATTTGTTGAAGTGCTTGAAACATTTTTTTTTTTGTAATTTAAATAGAACTGTGTTTGTGAAGAAAGATTTAGAGGGAGAAATAGTTAATTATAAAGTTGCATTTAATTATTTTTACTGTCAAATTAAAATTAAGGATTTACTTAGGCATATTGACTAGACTTATAGTATCATTGTATTTTCAGCATTCTAATACTATCTTGGGTTCTAGAATGAGTAAGTAGTCAGGAATTAACTACCCAATGAACATTGCATGAAGTTTTATTTTCATTAGGATGTTAAGAAAAATTTAACATAATACATCGTTCATTAGGATATCAATGCAACTCATAAGTTTAACTTAGACTATAGGAAAGAAGAAAGAGATATAGTAACTTAAAATTATTGGTCAATTTATTTTGAATATAATATCAGAGACAAAATAATATCAAAGAGAATTTTAAATATGCCTCATATTTAAATTTTTTTTAAAAAAATCTGGCCTCTCAAGCTAGTATATTGAAACTATTTTTGAGTCCTTGGTAATTTCTTCTTCTTCCATGTAGACGGTGTCTGACTTAAACTCTTCTCCAAGGCTGCCCCCTATCCTTGCTGGGTATAGCTTCCTTATGTTTGGTTTGACATATTCATCACCCTGGTCTCACCATTTCTTTGAAATGTTCATTTTAGTGACTTTTGATGTAGTGACTTTCACTTTGGAAATTACTCCTTGCTGTTACCCCTACTCTAAAGTTTAAATTCAGACTTAGAGCTTTCTGACCACACTTCTGTCTTTAAAAATCGCTGAGACATTTTATCAGCTTCTCCACCATCCAATGAGTCATGGTTGTGCTCTCTTCAGTAAGGTCTAGGTCTTAGCCTTTGAGGGCAGAAGTTGTCTTCATTGAGCATACTATCTCAATAGTTCAGGTGACTCTTTCTTGTATGTGTGATTTTTAAATTCTTCCGAGTTCTTTTTACTTTCCTAAGGAGGAAATTGAAGTCACTAACTTGTGACCTTTCTTCTTTTTTTTTCTATTTTTTGCTAACTGCCTGTGGGCATAAGCACTTACCTAAGAGACCTGAGGGTTAGGGCAGAGGGGTGAAGGAGGGAGAAAGCACCTCCTAACGGGGTTTGGTCATGCCACAGTTCCTTCTCCAATTCTCAGTCCTGTCATGATTTGGATGCATATGCACATGTGCCCAGTGCCCAAGCCACCAGGTCAGGATTTAAATTTGTAGTTGGCCACGTGGGATCTAGTTTCCCTTAACTGCTAGGTTGTGAGGCCAACCCCTTTCTTCTTTTGAATTAGGCATTTAGTGCCATTAATTGTCCTGTAAGTGTGGGTTAGCTGCATCCCTCAAGGATGACTGTTTTCATTTTCATACAGTTCAAAATACTTGAATATTTTTCTTTTAATTCCTTCTTTTATTCATGGGTTATATAGGAATCATGTTACTTAGTTTTCAGACATTGGGTTCCTTTCCAAATATCTTTCTTATTTACATGTAATTTAAAGTTTCTTTCTTTTTTTTTTGGATAGGTTTTTTTGTCTTTCAGGCACATGGGCTCGCCAGACAGAGAGAGACAGAGAGACAGAAAGCGAGAAATTACCCCCCAGAGGGGATGGCCACGCCACAATCCCTTCTCCTCCAGTCTCCTCTCGGGATCTTGGGCACACACGCACACGCGCCCGGCGTGAGTTTTAAGCCACTGGGTCCGGGATGCGAACCGCGGTCAGCTACATGGGAGTCCAGCGACATAGCCATTACGCTAACTGCTGGTCCCTAAAGTTTATTTCTTGTAGGAGCATGAGAGACAGAGACAGTGAGGGAAAGCGACAG